TTGCATTCATCACCCCAAACATTAAGCACTGTAATCAAAACAAAAATGTCGGGTGTGTATCATATCTAGAGAATCTAATGAACATATGAAAGTGGCCGAGCGTTCATTCGATAAGCATTTGCGGATGTAACTCACATCTCTGCGGACAACCATTCGATTTCGTTGGACTGGCGATGTTTCGAAGACGTATCCATCAAACGGCACCTTTTTTGTTGGCCGTCCGATAGCCGTTTTTGCCTCTTTCACGCGACCAAATTCAAGGAAAACTTTATCAGCAGATTCCCTTTCTTTAACTTCATTGAAAACCTTAAATTTACGATTACATATGCTTGGTTATTGGTAAGTGACCATAGATCCACCGTTGTAAGATAGAGGTGAAAAGGCGAGAATTTCAAAATTGAAACAAATGCAACAAATTAGAAGCAAAGAACTGTGATCTTCGACTGTTCGACAGCTGACCTCGTGACTGTAAATGTGTAGCACTCGTACACGTGGATCCCAAGTGGCGTTAACATCACGCTTCGACAGGCACATTGACAACGATTTCGTACTTTTTTCAACACATGCACCGTTTGATGCAAGAACATGATCAACTTCTGGGCACTTACACCTGAAATTTCATTGCTAACCACTTTGAAGCAGTAACCTTCACTGCCCACTTCAGCACCTCTTCGACTATAGTTGAAAATCGTTCACGCTAGAGCGATGCTATGAAAACCGCAAAATTCAAGTGCATGTTCTTAGGGAAGTAAAAGTGAAAATTGACTGGCATAGTGTTTGAATCAAATCAGCAAATTTTCCTTGTTGAAATCTATAAAAATGAAATGAAAGTGAGATATTCCAGTCAAGCAATTGGTTCGTTTCTTTTCCGCAAAATATACTGGCTACAGCATCCGAAGTAACTGCGCATAAACTCACTTCATCCTTGAAACGCAGCCGAACTTACACAGCACCCCATTGCGTAACGCACATGAAACTTGATTACTCGATGATGGCTTCTTGAATATATTCAATTTCTTTGGTCCATTCGTTGATGGTGGCAAAATTGAGGTAGATGATAGAGCTACATTGGAACTCATTATCTCATCATTCGACGTAGTTTTCAGATGTGTTTGTAAAGTTCTCGTTTGGATTCGTTGATTCACATCGTCTCGTGTCTTGGAGGAATTTTCTTCTGTCGCCTTCATGTTCACAGTGGTCAGTGACACTGAGGTAGTAGGTTCTGGTGATTGAACA